AAGTGAAAACAGAGATAGATAAATGGGACTATCTTAAACTAAGAAGCTTCTGCACCTCCAAAGAAACAGTGACCAAAATGCAAAGACAGTCTACAGAATGGGAAAGGATATTCGCCGAATACACATCTGACAAGGGGTTGATATCCAGGATATACAAAATACTGGTTAAACTCCACAAGAAGAAAACATCCAATCCCATCCAAAAATGGGGCAATGAAATGAACAGAAAGTTTCTCAAAGGAGAAATCTGAATGGAAAAAAAGCACATGAGAAAATGCTCTACATCATTAGTCATCAGGGAGATGCAGATCAAAACCACAATGAGATACCATCTCACACCTCAGAGACTGGCCCACATTCAAAAGAACAAAAGCAACCAATGCTGGCGTGGATGTGGCGAGAAAGGGACACTCCTTCACTGTTGGTGGGAATGTCCACTGGTTCAGCCCTTCTGGAAAACAGTATGGACGATTCTCAAAAAATTAGAAATTGACCTCCCATTTCACCCAGCAATACCACTCCTGGGAATATATCCCAGAGAGGCAAAAATGTATAGTCGAAGTGACATCTGCACTTGTTAGTTCATTGCAGCACTCTTTACAATAGCCAGAAACTGGAAGAAACCTGAATGCCCAAGAATAGATGACTGGTTAAAGAAACTTTGATACATCTACACAATGGAGTACTATGTAGCTGTTAGAAAAGATGAAGTCATGAAATTTACATACAAGTGGTACAACATGGAAAGTATCATGCTAAGCGAAATGAGTCAGAAAGAGAGGGATAGAGATAGAAAGATTGCATTCATCTGGGGGATATAAAGTAACAAAATATGAGATTAATACCCAAGAATAGCTGAGATCAGCACCAGGAGGATTACTCCATAGCTTAGTGGCCAGTCGGGCATTCTAGAGGAAAGGGCAGCTCAGATAGAGAAGGGAATACCAAATAAAGGGTGTTTGGAGGATCCTCCCAGGAGGGGAGATGCATGTCGAAAGTAGACTATGGACTGAACATGTTTGCCACTCAATGCCTCTTTTGCAGACCACAACACCCAAAAGGAGAGAGAGAACACAGGGTATTGCCCTGCCACAGTGGCAGGGGGGTATGGGGGGATAGGGGTGGGGAGGATATTATCCATGGTGGTGGAAAATGGGCACTGATGGAGGGATGGGTATCTGATCATTGTATAATCAAACCCAAGCACAAAAAATTGTAAATCTACAACTGTACCTCATGGTGTTTCACTAATAAAAAAAATTAAAAAATATAAAATAAAATAAAAAAATTAATCTTGGATAGCCAAACTCTGTCACAATACAACAAGACACAGTGTGTTTCAAAGTTTAGGATGAAATCTATAATTGAGAATAAGTTAGAAATTCATCAGTTTTTTTAAACTTAGAAAAATTACATAAACATACTAGATTTGAGTTTTAAAATTTGCAATAGGGGATAGATAATAATTATGTAATTGTAAGCCACTGTGTATCTTAGAACAGGGAAAAATATCTGACATTCCAAATGGAAAATAATCAATAAACCCCATGGAATACAAAATCAAATAACTATGAGTCTATGTCTCCTACTTCCAAGGTTTATGTTTAAGAAAAGAAACTCGACGAAATAGTGCTTTATGATATTTTAGAGGTCCTATTTGTAGAGTACCTTTCATAAAGTCAATAGTGGTCATTTTCCAAAAATATCTATGGTATTAAATAAATAAACTCATTTATTACTTCAACAATATTTGAGGTGAAGTCAGGATTTGTGTTTATGAAAACAAGCAATGTTTACAACTTTACAAATAATTCAGAGAAAAAGATTATGATCACAGAGTCAATTCTCAGGACTCCGTGGTCCCTCAAGCACCATTGGCTATACGCCTGGAGGCCCTCAAGCATTTGTCGATATTTAGGCAAGGTGGTCAAGTTTTCCGGCAACATAAGGCCTGAGGAAATTATATAACTTTTTTTAATTAAATTTTTTATTTAGAAAAAAATTTATTTAGATACTTTGATTCACAAAGTTATTTACATTAGGGTTCCTGGCATCCAATGTCCCCACATCCAATCTCACTATCACATCCTTCTATTAATGGCCCAAGGTTCACTACAACCATCCAACGTATCTTCTTGAAATATGCCACTATACGTTTAATTATTGTATTTTAGGACTCCTGCTTTCAATAATATTGGCTCTAGTGGTTTAGATATATAAAGATTCCTTACCTCTATACTAAAGACAAGCCTAAGGTCCCTGGCCCTTGCCACTATGTTACTCCCAGGCCCTCCTCTTCTTGCTTCACCTTTGCATTTCTCTCCTTCATTAGCATTTTTGTTTCTGTAATCTAGAGTCAATGTTCTGCCCACCTTTGATAGATTCCATTCCCTAGACATGCAATGCATTGAATCACAAACTAGAGTGGCTAGGAATTGCCTTTGGGGACTGAATACCACATGAGAGGACTGATACATTATAATAAAAGAGCAAGTACTTAACAGTATTTCCAGCTAATCAAATATCAGTGGTTTATTCAGCTTCCAAGAGATTATATATTTAAGCTAATGATTTCTACAAATTTCTGTATTTAGACATTCATATAAACTCAGAATCTTTTCTATTCCAGGGATATCCTCTAAATCCAAGACATTAAGAGAATAATACGCATAAGACAAGATATTTATTGACTAATAGAAAGTATCTCCCTCAAATGTTAAATTCAACAAAAATTAGGGAGCAAAGATTTTAAAACACTTCTTTCTCTTTTGGAACACCTACTATTACATAATAGTATTTCCCACAAGATTATTTTTTATTTTATCTGAATTTAGCAAAAATCTTTGTATTGATTCCTTTGAGCATACCTCCAGTGATAGATGTCAGATCAGTGTTGTGTGGAAGAACTTTCATTTGACAGAATGATGACAGGAAGAAGCCTTTCTAAAAAGTGTAAGATGCAACTATAAAATGATATTTGAAATTAATTCAGTACTTTGTTCCCATGTATAAATAATTCATTTAACTTCAAAGAAGTCAGTTTGTGTAATTAAATTGAATAGTTTGAAGTAAAGACATTTTAGGATGTTTTTATTTAAATTAAGAGACTTTTACATGTTTTCAATATGAAGTAAGAATGAGAAAACAGACAGATAAAACAGGAGTTAAGGCACTTGCATTGAAAACACCATCTGTGTGTCCCAGAAAGAGTTAAACATATGTATACAGATTATGAATATTTATAACTATATCTTTATTTATAATATATTTATAATGATCGAAAAAGAATATCTTAAGATTCATCATCTTTGTGTACATTGTATTACACATTCCACTATCTACAAATGTTACAATTTATGAATTATGGCCGTTAGCTCAAATTACCAGGAATAAATAATTATTGTTATATATTAAACTGCTAGTCTATACATGGGCTGGAGCAATAGCACAGTGGGTAGGGCGTTTGCCTAGCACGCGGCCGGCCCGGGTTCAAATCCTTCACTCCTCTCGGAGAGCCAGCAAGCTCCCTGTGACGTATTCGATATGCCACAAGCAGTAACAAGTCTCACAATTTGTTGTGAGACGTTACTAGTACCCGCTCAAGAAAAATGATGAACAACGGGAGGACAATGGACAGTCTATGTATATATAATGCAAACCTATTTAAACAAATAAATTGAAAAATTTCTATCGTGTTCCTGGATTTGGAATTCCCACTATAATACACTTCAAGAAATTAATACGTGCTGTGTGTGTTTGTGGGGGCACAGGTGGTCACACCTGGCTGTACCATAATACACTTCAAGAAATTAATATGTGCTGTGTGTGTGCTTGTGCGGGCGCAGGTGGTCACACCTGGCTGTACCTAGGGCTTATTCTTGGTTCTGTTGCTATGGATTTACTCCCTGCCAGTATTTCTGGGACCATTTAGGTTGCGGTTCAGCCAAAAGCAAGGATAGCACTGGGCCTGCTGTACACTCCAGTTACAAAGAAACTTTTTTGTTTTGTTTGGCGGCAACACCTTGCTTTACTCAGTGCTTTTATCTGACTCAGGATCATTTTTGGCAGGGGACTATATACAGTGAGGGAAACAGGACAAGAGTCAACTACATTCAAGGCAAGCTTACCCACTATACTTACCTTACCTACTATATACTTATTATACTTACTATACTTACTTACCCACTAAACTTTCATTCAAGGAAAGCTTACCCACTATACTTACTGACAATATTGCCTCTCCAGCCCCAAATAGAAATACTTTGCAATGTTTTCACATAAGAAAAAAATTGGGAAAATTGTGTGATGTCAAAGATAGACTGCCTGATCTCTGAGATATTTCAAATCTATATTTCTTATACACCTTCAGCTATGGTATGTCCATTTACATCACCGGGAACATTTGTTTAAATAATATTTGTTTGCTCTAACTCAGAAATAAATATATATGATCATTTTCCAAGTCTCTTTTCTATGTTCACCATTCACAAGAACTGAAATATAAAGAAGCATAGTGATGAATTAGAAAATAGTCAAAGGCTACAAATCTGATAGAATTGATCAATAAAACTGAGTTTACCCACCAACAGTCATAACTAGAGAAGTTCAAATTTTAAAAAATGATGAAATATTTCACAGCCTCAGAATGGCACTAATCAAAAGTATGCAAATAGGCAGAATTAGAGGGGTTGTTGTGGGAGTGCCTTTGGTTCAACTTTTATCATTCCTTAACTCTGTTGTACATGAAACCCCTTAACCCCATCACAAGTAAAAACTTTTATTCTGATCTAAAAACTAAAGTAAGATGTGCTCAGTGTGAGCATTTAGTTTTCTACAAGAATATTTCTAAAAATTACATCCACACATAATTTACATACCGTATAATAAACTTGTCTGAAATATTTCTTGGCTCGTTTATGATTGTACTATTGCTACTTAGAGTGAGTCCTCTCATAGTTAAAAATCATTGTTGCAAATGATCAGTGTAAATGTTACCTTACCTTACAAAGGAAGTTGATCTTAAAACCCAAAGACTGAGCATTTCTTGAGCCAGAGTTCATGTAGTTTCCAACCAAAAGAACTAACTCTAAAAGTCTGTTAAAACTTTCACTTTTTTTCAATTCTTCACAGGCAAGAGTTACTGCTATGATGCTTGGCTTGATGTTGTTCACTTGTTCTTCAAACATGAGCTTGAAAAGAATGCTATTGAGACGTGACTGCAACATTTTCACTGAGCTCATCTGTAAGATTAGAAACAGTCTATCAGAACACATATTTAAAGTTTCTCATTTCCTTTCTCTAGTGAGAATCATTTTATAGATAATACAATAAAATTTTCTCATAAAAGAAATTTTATCTGGGTTTTAATATTGTTTTGTTTGATTTAAATATTCCAAAGATAATATGCATCACAAAACCAGCTGCTCCATTTAGACATAGATTATATCACCCTTATAGCATTAGAAATATTATTGAAGTTAAATAATTGCTATATGCTAACTACATAAATATTTGCTACCAATAACATTCAAATAATCTCAATCCAAACAAACTATACAGCATGATCTACAGAACTGGAAACTAAGGAAATTAGGTGGGGAGAGGAGTTAGAATCCATGGGATAAAAGACAAATCTTGGCAGTGTTTTGGTATAGTTACTCTGAAACTACAAAACAAGTGCAATAACATCATAAACTTGATAGCTGAGTAAAATGTAAACTGATGAAAGAGCAAATAACCGCAAATCATAATGCCCCAAAGTAGAGAGTAAGAAGGAAAGTGCCTGCCATAAAGGCAGTGTGTGGGGTGGGGTGGGGGTGGCTGGAAGGATACTTTGCACATTGTTGGTGGAAACTGTACACTGGGTGTTCGATCATTGTATTACTAAAACTCAATCATGAAAGCTTTGTAACTGTATCTCATGGTGATTCAAAATATAAGTGGAACCACATTTTCTAACCATTTAGACATTATTATGCATATTGATTAGAGTACTAGCTCTGAAAGAAAATTTAATTGTAAAATTAATTCTATTCATAAAACATATTTTCTAAATATGCATGCATCAAATAAGTTTGCCAACTTTAAAAAAGGTTGATGGCAAATAATTAGTTATATTCAAATATATTATTCAAAATTTGAATTAAATTGATTATTTAAGAATTCTGTACTTTTTTCACCTTAGGTTTTAATTTTCTTGAATAGTTCCTAAGACAGATTTTTAGACTATAATTCATGTTTACAAGTCATTTAACTTGTTTTTATACAACACACACACATACACACAAACACACACACACAGGGAAAGAGGTGGCATTAAAGTGAAAAAACAGGGCTGGAGATATAGCACAGCAGGTAGGGAATTTGCCTTGCACGCTGCCGTCCTGGGTTCAATCCCCGGCATCCCATATGGTCCTCCAAGCACCGCCAGGAGTGATTCCTGGGTGCAGAGCCAGGAGTGACCCCTGAGCATTGCTGGGTGTGACCTTAATGAAGGTTTCATAGCAGAAAGGATACAAGTCGAGATGGAAAGAAAACGAAAAGGGGTATGGGATTAATGGAATAGAAAGAACCATTGTTCCCAGGGTCTTCAACTAAGATGTCAAACAGGAAATGCTAGGGAATTCGGCCTTTTGAAATTCTATTACTTCATAGGGAAATCTTTCATTAGTCAACATGATTTCTGAAGTAGGCTGTAAACTATAATGTGTCTAAAAATAGCCCTCTGTATGGCAAAATACATGCATTTAATGATCCTCTAGAATATGATTTGGCACATAGTGGTGATCTGTATAATTAGTAATAAATTAATAATGAAATGAAACAGTCAATGAATGGATTCATTAATTCATCTAAATTAGAATTCCAGTAGCACTGCAGCACTGTCCTCCCATTGTTCATAGATTTGCTCCAGCGGGCACCAGTAACATCTCACAATAAATTGTGAGACTTATTGTTACTGTTTTGGGCATATAGAATATGTTAAGGGGAGCTTGCCAGGCTTTTCCTTGCCATGTGGGCAAGACACTCGCAGTAGATTTCCGGGCTCTCTGAGAGGGGTGAGGGAATCAAACCTGGGTCAGCCGCATGAATTCCAGTAAAGTGCTAAATTCGAAGGAGGAAGCACAGCAAAAATAAGTATCATGTTAAGCAAATGTGGGAAATGGGGATGAATATGAAAAGTAATTTGCCACTACATCTGTCATCACAGCAATAATATCCAGGCTCAATCTTGGCACAAATTCATAGCCCTAGATACATTTTTGTTTTGATTTCTGGGCCACACCTAGTATGTTGAATATCCCTAGTCAGTATTCTGAGGTGCCTGGCAGTCAATCCAGTGTCAGAGATTGAACCGGGGCCCCAATGTACAAATAACATATTCCAGCCTGTTGAGCTCTTTTCTTTGGTGCCCTATCTACTAATTTTCAATATTAGATTCAAGATAATTTTCTGCTAACATCTAAAGAAACAGAGTTAAAGACAGGGGCAGTGACAAAGACAAAGAATATATTAACAGTATTCTTTTGATACTTAACATAAGTCATTGTGGAATAAAGAGGGACTTTTCTATGGCAGAGATTTTAACTTGAATTATAGTTCTGTTACTTTCTCGTTAATAAGATTTACTGCAAGTTGACTTATATTTCTAAGTCTATGATTTTCATCATTAAAATATATTCCTCAAATGATCCATTAAAAGTAGAATTAAGTCATAAATGAGATACTCTGTTAAGTGCTACTAATTGTAGCTGATAAGATCACATAGGACAAAAGTAGAGGTTCATGGGAAATTTGTTATTGTTGGTGGTGTTAATAGACTTTGTACTTCAATATTATAGACTTAAACAATATTGTAACTATATTACCTGTATATTAATATTTTAAAATTATCTGAGCAACCACAACACCCAAAAGGAGAGAGAAAACAAAAGGGAATGCCCTGCCACAGAGACAGGGTGGGATGGGAGGGATGGGGGTGGGAGGGATACTGGGATTCATGGTGGTGGAACATGGGCACTGGTGGAAGGATGGGTATTTGATCATTGTATAATCGAAACCCAAGCACAAAAATTTGTAAGTCTATAACTGTATCTCACGGTGTTTCACTAGTAAAAATAAAAAAAAAGTTAAAAAAATCTGAGCATTTCCATGAGCTCACAAACACACAAAAATGCAATATAAGTACTAAAAAAAACCTACTGCTATTATTACCATATTATTCCATCTCAAATATTCCCAACAGAAAGACTGGGTACCTAGTGAGTCTCCAAAATCTAAACAGGAAGTTTCTCTCATACATAGTTAAGAAAAGTGTGTTTCCATAGAACAAGTATTAACAACACTCATTAACTACTTAAAGTATGTTAAATACTAAATCTGTTTTATAATATATCTTATTATCATATCACTATCAATATCACTATCCTCCTGTTGTTCATCGATTTGCTCGAGCAGGCCCAGTAACACTGTGAGACTTGCTATTTTGTTTGGCATATCGAAGACATAACGGGTAGCTTGCCAGGCTTTGCCATGCCGGCGAGACACTCTCAGTAGCTTTCTGGGCTCTCGGAGAGGGGTGGAGGGATCAAACTGGGGTCGGCCATGTTGGCTGTGTGCAAGGCAAACACCCTACGTACTGTGCTATCACTTCAGTCCCTTATTGTCATAGTTATCATAAAATGTATTTTAAGATCAAGATAATGTGCAGAAGGTAAAGCTATATGTGTATAGCTCTTAATGAGAGTAACAAATTAGCTTGAAATTATATGAACAAAATTTGCTGCAATAATCTAGATTTTACAATCAGGTGAATGTACACTAAAAGACAACAGTTGAATATACATTAAAAGAGTTGTATATAAAAAGAAATGTCTTGGATAATGGACATTTGAAATCATATGCACTGAGTACCTTCTCAAACGCAAGCACAATTATTATTAGAATAATGTACTTTAAGTAGCTATGTCATAATATTCAAAGAAACAAAAATTCAGAGCAACTGTTTATTATTACTTGTTGTCCCTTATAGCAGTTTAGTTGACTGACATCCTTCCTTTTATATTGTAGTATTGTGAAAAGCTGAAACCATAAAGCTTTGATAGGTAGGGGATATTGTTACATAATGAGTTTCTTGTCTATAAAATCACATTAAGCAGCGAACATGTCTTTAGCTGATCTTCACTGTATCAAAAAGTTCACTGAAAGCTTTAGTGAGAACAGGTATAAGTAAGTTATTTCCCCAAGGTCTTAGACTGTTTTGTTTGTATAATTGGTATTTTATACATTTCACTACTACCAATATCATTGGCAAATATAAATCTATATGCCACTATTCCATGAGAATATGTAGAGAAAAAAGACAAATGTGTAAAGATGATATACAAAGGAAGAAGATATGCATGTACAGCTACTCAGTTACACATTACCATTAAGGCTATTTCTATTAATTTTTTGTTTGCACTAAGAAAGTCACTTTTCTGTAAAATTGAATGTGATCATTTTCTACTCTATAAATTAATGTTAATATTAAAATGACAATACCATTTAAAATGATATACAAAGAAATTTTTACATAACTAGAACAAAAAGATGATGGAATTTATTTTGATCTCCTAAAGACTTCAAATGGCAAAAATACTCCTAAGGGAAAATAATGAAAGTATCATGCTTCCAACTTCAAACTCCACTGAGAAGCAGTAAGGATAACAATAGCATCATATTAAAAAATATTAACACCAAGGATTGAAAGACTAAAAGTAAAATCAAGCACACGTGGAAAACTAGTTTATCATAGGAATCAGGAAAAAGGATGTACTGCAAGGAGTCCTTTAAAAGGAGTTAGGAATTCTGTTCAATGAGTGATAATGGGAAAATAGGACAGCCACATGTGAAAGGATGAAAGTAGGCTACTACCTAATGTGACATACACAACATATATTCAGAATGGTTATTACAGTTCTGAAGGTAATACTTGAAAGCATAAAATGTATAGAAGAAAACATAGCTGATACACTTTTTGTTTTCAGTCACAAAAATGTGTTTGATAACTGCACAATAAAACAAATGCAAAAATTAGTAGATGGGACTGCATCAAAATAAAAGGCATGCATCAAAAGACAACCTACTGAATGAGATAAGTTATTTTCATATTATCTATTGAAAAATACACAAAGCATATCATGAACTCACCAAACTCAACAATAAAACAAATACAAAAATACTGGGAAGGGAGGGAGCC